TCGCGCATGACTAGTATGAAGAAAAATTTCTATGAGCAAAACAACAAATAATTCAAGTTTACACTCAATGCTTGCTGTTTACGAGCATATAACTCATGCATGAACATGATTGCCAGGAAATTCGATTTTCATAGCTCTCCGAAAATTAATGATTTCTTTCAAGGCTTTTACTTATCATCTAAATGGCTTTTTAATGCTAAACATTTATTTTGTAGAGTTTGCTTAAGAATTAAATTTCGTTTCCTACTTGAAATTTCAAATTGATCGATATCTTTAAGGAAATTCACTAAAAATATATTAGAGAGAGGCATTAAGTAGGCTGCAAGATTATCTAGGGAACTTGACTGGCATTCGAAAAGCCTATACCTAGAGGCGGGCATTGCAATTATCTGCAAAAAATCGAGATACCTTTCTCCGAATATGATAATGACTTAAATGTTCTGAGGCTTAAAAAGGAAGATACGAGTAGACGAACCCGTGTCGATCGTCCGAAAACTTACTGTTAATATTCGATAAGGATAACGCTTGTCATCGCATTGCGTTTCCTAACTTTTGCTTTTGCTTGACGCTATAAAACAGTTATCGTAATTATATTCTACACCACTTGCATATTATGTTTGTGCCGATGTATGCAACATCCAGAAGAAATTAAGGTGCATCCAATTGTTATTATACCGTTGTTGTCTGTTCGTCTGTCTGCCTTGTTTCCTTATATTCAATTCAAAGACTGCTATTTTCAAGATATTTTGTTCAAATTTAATAAGCAGATGTTTTGTTGATAGTCGAACGCTGAAAATTGAAAACAATTCGAATTGAACCACTTTTACGACCATTTCCCATATAATGCCCCTTTTTGAAAAGTTGATATATGAATAGCTGCATCATGTTGTAGGTCGTTTAATGGTGCATTCGTTCACCTATGGGCAAACGTTTTAAGTACTTGGTGTGGAAAATTTTACTCACGAACATAAAATATTTATCCAAGTTTAGTAGCATATTCCATAAGAAACTCATTCAACATGCTATCATCACGTTGGACATCAGAAACGCCCAAGGTAAAGAAGGCTAAAAGCGGTTCAAAGGCCGTGCATGATGAGAATGATATCGTCTTACAGCACAGTTTCAACGATAGCGTTTGTGCAAGGAATATCACCCATCAAGCTACTATTGAAGAAGAAGTTATGTATCCACAATGGCAAAAGGGGAAGAACTATCGGCGAAGGATATTGCAACGATAACTGCTCGCCGGCAAACGATTCGTAAGGAAGGTGTACCAATATTCTCATCCCAAGAAAAATGAGTGGGAAGGAAACACCGAGGAATTAATTTCCTTCTAACCCAATTTTCTCCTGATCGTCGGAATTTTCAAATAATTTGTGTCACTTCAACTAGCAGATAACGCATGCGACTTGTGCAAAGGCACAAACCATGATGCGCTAGACAGTGTTTTCGGCTCTCTGGCTTGTGCATGTGTGGGGAAGTGTGGCTTTTCGGATCTCTGGAATTAGAAATGACGCCATGTGAATGTACACCGAAAGATGGAAGACATGCATCGGCTTGATATAAAGCCATACGAAGACAAGATCCGGGCTCCTAATCTCAGGCGAAGATGAGAGAAGTGGGATTATATAATGAGGATCAGGAATCCATCAGCCTCCAACCCGAGGTAACGCGAAAGTGCTTCTGGGATGGTTTGACCCCATTGCAGGGCCACTAGCTGGCAATGCGCTGCCGCTATGCCCATAAAAAAAGGGAATTGTTATTGAAAGTGTAAAGCGACTTATTGAAAGTTATGAATACAAGGTCTTGCAAGGGGAATTAAATAGAAAAATAAAATTAAAGAAAATATCAAACCATTCTTTCATCTTAATTCGTCCCTCAGCCGTCACAATGATTCCCATTCGCATTAAGTTGCATGGATCTAAAATGCTTACTTATGTTTGGATTTGTTTTTCAACTAACAAAAGCTCACACCAAGAGTTATGAGATTAATAGGCTTCGCTTAGAGAAGCCGTAAGCTGCCGATAAGTAAAATAATAATTTCCGAATTTAAAAGTATTTCAGCAAACATTCGATAAATATTTCAAAGCAAAGTTTTGCCTCCCGCGTTATAGACTAATAAAGATTTTATAGCATTTCCTTAATTTTCCCTTACGATTCCCAACGGGGAATCAACAGTTTATAAAACAATGGTGACAACTCCAAAATGATATTTATTTTTTTTTTAACATATTTGACCTCCCGTAACAGTATTCGCTCTTCGAATATATTCTTAGTATAGCCTTTACTAGGATTATCGTAGGAAAATGTAAGCGAGTCTACTTGAAGCATACCACAAAATCATCGCATCTAATACATGTGCATCATTCTCCATATTATCTCGTCTTAATAACATTTGTAAACATGAAATGGAAAAAAACCAAAAAAAAAAAAAAAAACCCCTTAAAAGGCTTTAAACAGCTTATTTTAGGCATTAAAAGATTACAAGTTATTGTTCTTATTCTTATTATGAGAAGAAGAAGAAGAAGGAGAAGAAGCGAAAATTAAAGAGGAAGAAAATAAGAAATGTAAGTAAAATGATGTCATCTTATCGCGATAAACATCAATTTTGGTTGGTAAATAGACGGCGGCGGAAACGCTAAAGCTCATACGAATGTAGGAATAGGCAAATGTAAAATGTTTCAATAGGTAAGAAAACATATTAGAATAGATTACCAACCACTTTAGACTCTTCGAAATATCTCAAAGTAATGCAGTGCAAATCTTTCCTTAGGAATGAGAAAACTTAACCTTATCCAAGCAAATGCAAACAATAAGTTATACAAGCATTTTGATTTAAGTTGTTAAATATTGAAATAGAAGAACGAAAAAATCTGATTCAATTATGAAGTTGTTACATTTTACTGCCCACGCTTAGGCAAAATATCGTATCCATTGCTCACTTTTTAGCGTGAAAGAAGAGTAATAAAAAACAAACAAAAAGCAAATAAATCTGCTAATGATGTAGTTATAGCTGAAGGGATAGATGCAATGTATATTTAAATTTAAAAATATAAGCGAAGAAGAAGCGTTCACAACATTACACACTGCACCTTACTTGCGTTGGTGGTAAACGGCAGTGAAAAAGGCCATTGATTCAAGAAATAAGTCGAGGACATACATAGGGCTGGCTCAAGGATGCATAGATAACCGAAAACAAGTATTGAATAACGCATTTAGTGATACTTAGTTGTAAGCTACCCCATGTATGTGCCCAATAAAATTGCCAACAACATTTTTACGGCTCTGATGAAAGAGGTCTTGATAGGCAATTGGTGACAACGAAATGAGTGATTGAGGTCTCCTGTACAAGGACGCTTGGAGAACGCGGGTTCGGAAGCTATATGCACTTGTTATATTCTGCCTTGAACATGGACTCCAAACTAATAGCAAAGGTTATGATCTCATTTTTATATTAATCGCACCCAACTGTAGCAGACATAATTAAGGGCTCCACGCTCCGCAGTCTACTTTTGCAATAACGCTGGCTCGTTTTTAGAATTTATAGCAGGCATATCCCTTCTTTCTTTTCTACCTATAATCCTTTTTGATCTCTCTTATGGCGTACATCAATTAAGTGGTTATTTAAAAAAAATAAAGTTTTACACACACCATCAGCCGCAAAGATATCTAGTTCTTGAGAGCGGTGGGCGATCAGCAAATATGGTTTGACGTCGACATTCTTCCCCGTTGCAGCAGAAACGGTTTAATTCCCCGTCACCCCACGGCACACAACGTACAGGAAATGGCGATCATTTAGAGGAGCCTTAATCTTCCGGGCGAGATGATGATAATGAATCATTTCCTTCAACTCCTCCTTCTCCTCCTCCCAACCGCAACTAAACAAGACTTCGCTCATCTAACACATAAGTATTTTATGCCCACGCAAGTTTGGTACAACGACAAACGACAAAAATTTCCCACGACGAAGTACGCTTTTGTCAGGATAAAGCAAAACCAGGAGCATAAAGCTGAAAGCTTCGCGAAGACCTGACAACCGGGATACTTCGTAATATGTTCAAAACTCCCTATATACATATTTTCTATGGCTTCTACCTTACACTTGCATTGGAATCTTGGATGCACCCCGGATCAGAAATCGTTGGTATCCTTACACTTACAGACACGGTCATATTCTCCTATTTAAGTCCATAATAACGTAATCATGCTAATCTACTCTTATTTTAGATCGTCTTTGAAGTGTAATTGGACGGAAAATAAGTCTTCTCGAAAAACAAGAAACTTCTTCCGATGCACTCTTCTAGGGAGTTTGATGTCGACGCCAGGTATGCGGCAGCAATATCCTCTTCATTCCATACAGTCACGTGTCTTCCTTGCTTACAGAAGCCAAATTGCGGCACGCTTTATGAGCGAAACGTACTGATAACGTAACTGTTTTATGTTTTATGTTTCCAGCCTCACAAAATAATGAAAAGACAAGTGAGAAACTTTAGCCACGAAATTATTAATAAACTTTGACCTACATTAAGCCCCAGAAAATCGTTTAGGAAATCTTTCCTTTCTTGCAAACATTTTTCTTTTGCCACCAACATTGACTAAATCTATATCTCTGCCAAATTTTATACACAAATTATTAGGAAAAAAAAAATAAATAAATATTATGAGCTGCCAAGTTTAAAAGGGGGAAAAACGCTTAATTGACAATTTTAAAATCGGATTAGTTATAATCTATATCTTCAATCATAAAAATAAATTTATTTATTTTAAATTAAATTTATAGCTAAAACCGATTAATCATAATTTGCATTTGTATTTAGGTTAAAATCGATTGCAATCAAAAACTTTTAAGAATTTTCTGCTCTCCTATGTGGGACAAAATATAACTTCAACTCAAACATGCAGCAATTCCTGGCGTTGTATAACACTTAACGATACTCAAGGGTAACATTTGTTTAAACTGAAGTATTTTAGTAAATTTAAATAACGTTATAGTTACCTACCTATTCAAACATGTGCTCCATTTAAGCATAGTTGAGGTATTACATTCGTCGTATTTATATGCATTTTATCCGTGTGAAGTTAGGAAAGTGAGGAACAAATTTTTTTTTTTATTTCTTTTTAATGCTTATGGTCTGCATATTTAAGTTGCCGCTGAAAAATAAAAAAAAAAAACGAAAACATAAAAAAATTACTTTAAATATTTAATGGTTAACATTTAGTAATAATAAAAAATTTATTCTTATAATTTTGCGTTTTTGTTTATATTAAAAAAAAACTAAAAAGACTATATGCCGCTATAAACCCACCATTAAGTACCTTACACAACCCTACGATTATTCAAATAAAAAATTTTCACCCCAAAGAATTGTATGGGAAGTGGTCGAAAAAGTGGTCCGATCCGAATCATTTTCAATGGTGATCGTCCTTGGACCATAATATGCCAGTGCATCAGATTTCATCGAAATATCTTAACAAATGCGATCTGTAGAAGAAAAGGCGAGCAGACGGACGGATGGGCAGACGTACAGACAAGCTTAGAATATGATTCTAATTTGATCGGTATGATTAAAGCAGGCTATGTTTCAACTCTTCCTGGGTGTTGCATACAGCTAAACAAACAATTGGAACGATTTTCAATAGCGTGCGCCCTTGGGCCCAACTACGTCAGTATACCAAATGTGCTCAAAATATCTCAAAAATTGCGACTTGCTGGTTGAATGCAGGAAAGTTGTTTGCAAACAAGGGAAAATTTTCATGAACATAAGTCAGGCGGAGAGACAGACAGACAAGCTTAAATCGATTCAGTATATAATTAGATCACATTAATATATCCTGTATCACAACTGGTGCAGGGAATAAAAACGCATAATGGTATGATTGTCTCGAATGTGTAAATTTTTATATTTCATATACATATAATACATATATGCGTATATATACATAAAGATGCATAATAATTTGTTTTTAGTTTTCTTCCCCCATTACAAGCAGTTGATGGTTAATGCAATTCCATCTTGCCATCATTCTCTCAGTGCATAAATGATGAAATCAATCTTTACTGTAAGTTGAGAGCACTTACTAAACTATATCGATTTACTAAATGGACAGACGAACATGTACATTTTAATATTGATGCACACGTACAATAAATTGACTTCCTATTTGTTGTTTTGTGTGTTATTCAATTTTCATTTCAACTCAATTTTCTTTCGAAATGCTTAAGAATCTTTAAGAAAATTTTCTTGCATTTTGTCCCTTCATTAAAATTTCATATCCAACAAGTTATTCTATAAATTTACTTAATTTGTCCTTACACTCAACCCTGACCTTAAGTCTAATTTATTATGTATTGCGTTAAAATATTTTCTTTTCATAAACATTTTTCATTGGCCTTTGGAAAAATAAAAAAAAAAATAAAAATAAAAAAAATGTTCATAATTTATGTGATACAAATTTAAAAAAAAATAAAAAAATACAAACAATGAATAAATTAAGAAAGTTGATATAGAAACTTTTTTTTTAAATTTATGCCACTACCAGTCTTCTTTAAGTCAACAAGTAGTTATCTAATGGCCAAATAAAAGACATTTCAAATAATATATAATTAGGGAGAAAGCAATTCCTCTTAGTCGAATTTTAAATAGAATTTCATTATTAGTTGGAAAAAGTTTGAAAAAAAAAAAAAATAGTTTAAAAAAAAATTTTTTTTTTTTTTTTTTTTTTTTTGGCAATTAATTATATTTTTCGTATTCTTAGACAGCAAAGGCAAAAAGCTTATTTATGCCGAAATATATTTGACAAATAAGTGGGACGTGACCTTGACCGACCATATTCATTGGTTGCATAAAAATGAACAAATTATTATCTTTTAATTGTTAGCGAGTATAAGCAGTGTAGCGGCAAACATGTTCTTTGAAAGCTGTAAGGACCGAAAGTGTTTCCAATTTACTCTTGTGTATTAACTGCACAGTTAAGATGGCTACAAACACACTAAGCTCTGAGCGTAAGCTAAGCCGTAAGATTTTTGCGCCCTATTCACATGATGTGACAGAGGCAGGCATACAAAACAAAAAATTCTTCTTCTACTTTCAGATGGATTTTCATTATAAGCTCTTGGATTTATTTTCGTATTTATAGTAGTTAGGTTACCTCGTGTATTGTTAGCCAACCCTAATGTTCATCTTATTTTACATGATACATTTTACGTTGTTGCTCATTTTCGTTATGTCTCATCAAGGCGGACGATATTTGCAATTAAAACAGAATTTATTCATTGTCATAATCGTAATCAATCAAATATTTATTGGAGTAAAATTAAAATTTTTAGAAAAACATTGTCTAGGATTAGCAAGAAAGATTACTCAAACTTTTGCCTAACTTGAAATGCAAAAAGTGAACGGCATTGCCATCAAAACAATGATTTTCGTGTTTTTTTTCTTATGGCCTATACTTCTTCTGGTACAGCGTATACAAGTTTGGACGGACGGTTCTAACTCCCAGAAGGATTTATGATAGATCTAACTTTAATTATACTAACGGATTCAAAATCACTTGCTGAATCAATCACTTGCTGAATCAATTTCTGTTTGTCCGTCTGTCCATCTAACATCTATTCATGTATTTTAGTCCGATGACCACTTTCTTCCCCATTTTGTTGACCCTACAATAAATTCTTGTTTTGAAAATTTGTGCTTCTTTAGATGGTTTAGGACATTTATGCTAACCATAATGTTTTTACTTATTTTTAATTAAAGCTGAAGTGCAAATGTTAATAACTTTGTATATATGAGGTGTAAGTGATTGAACGTCTTCTGGTGATTAAATATGACATACTTTTGCATAGATTTCATGTTTATTTATTCCAACGATTCTAACGAGTAAAGATTTTAAACTTTTTTTACCTTTACAAACAATTTGTCAAAAATCGGGTATTTCTTGCTTTCATTTCTGTAAGATGAAAGACCGGTTTACAGTCGTCGATTATTGACGCCTTATTTTGATAAGTCCTTATAAGAGAAAATATTGTGATGTTTACAATTTCGCGACAAAACTCGCTTACTTATGTTATTTCGGCAGTCTAAAGTAATGTGAAAACTTTGCATCGGATGGGGCAATTTTTCGAACCACTTGCCGTATAACCGTTCCTACGGAAACTGAATGTTGTTTTGATAAAAAGGCCTAATTCTCAGTACTTTTTGATAAAAATTCGTGCATAATAATAATTTGACATAAAAATTAAGTTTACAGAATTTAGACCACCTCGGCCTATCTTTAGGATCTCAACCTAGTTAAAAATTCTAATGAAAAATAAGCCTTTATAGGTCTAATTTTTAATATTTTATTATGAAAATTTGAACTCAGTAGACCAACCATAGGGGACTTATAAGGGCACTCATGAAAGCAAACCTTCTCTGACGGCAAAGTGTAAGTGTTCCGGTTTATTATGAAGAAAGAACACGATGACGGTCAGAAAGGGGGGAGAGGAAGGGATAGGGAGCCGCCGCAGTCTTGTGGTAAGCGTTATGGTTTTACCGACTGAACAATCTCTCTTTGCATATCAGCGACCAAGTATGGTCTTAGATTTGAGTTTGTGAACAGCGACGGGTTATTCTTGTCCAAGCGGGTATGCCGCAGTTTTTTAAAACACGAAGGGAGGCTCCTTTAATATTAGGAGGCAACTGCTCCATCACATAAAACAGTCCGACCCTACATATATAAATTTAAACAGGGACATGTGCTCAACACTGCTCAGGTCATCAAAATAAGATTACGACACTAAGTAACATGAAAAAGATTCCCAATGAAAAGATTCCCAATTGACCGACGTTGTGAACTAGTTGTGACCGCATGCGTCTGGCCTTAATAGTTTTCACCCAAAACTAGATATAAAAAGCCTTTCTCCAAGATCAATACTCGGATAACAACGACGTACTATTGACCATCATTGGATTGGTCGAAAGGTACAGTAGTTTGGAAGCGCACATTAACTAGTCTAAAGAGTCTTTCTTAAGATATTCTTTACAACACAGTTTATTCCTCAACCCAAAAATTAATTGCCATGTAACGGGTTGATTTACAAATAGCCAAAAACCGTTGCGTCTAGTCCTTAGGAATACATTAACTCGTCCATCGATGCAACTTTGTTCTCTGCCTTTTTAGAATCCCGAAGATATATTGGTGTCCTTACTTAAGCCTTTCCGAAGTTAAGTTAATTGCTCTCAACGAATTCTGGAAAGATTGAAATACGCAATAGCTGGATGGTGCAATGTCCGGGCTATTATGCTGTGACAGAGCTTCTTACTCGAGCTTCAAAAGTGTACCCTTAACAACTTTTGCAACTTGTGGCTGAGCATTGTCATGCAAGAGGATGATTTTGGGTCTGTTAGCCGCTATTGCTTGTCTTTTTTGAAACAATACATCGTTCAGTTTGTTCATTCAACATCGGTAGACATCTGCAGCAACAGTTTTATTCGGCTCTTAATACACCACACCTAGCTGATCTGACCATATGCAGAGCAAACATCTATGTCCATGAATATTCCGTTTTGGTATCGATGTGCATGGTTCTCCTGGACTAAGCGATCACTTTTTGCATTTCGAATCGCCGCAATAGGTGCACTTTTCATCGCCAGACACAATACATCACAGGAAACTCCTTCTTTTTGCCTGGCAAGCAATGAAAGCAAATGACAGTAATGGATGTCGATAATGCAATTTTGGGCTTTAAATGATTAGTGCCTGTGAACACTGAACAATTCAGTAACAGTAAATAGAAGACTGCCATTTTATATAGAAAAAGGTCAAAATTATAGAATTTAATCTTGCGTATTTTGATACCTCGCAATACTTTACCATTTTCACAAATAGATGGCGCTGATCAATATACATGTTACGATCTAATACAAGCTAAGTTCTTTTAATTTTTTGCTTCAGCGTAAGCTTCTCCCCAATCGACGTCAGTCCCTGTGGTTTTGCTAAGATAATTCTTTAGCTTTATTGGCAATTTTCCACTTAATTGCTCAATATAACACCTCCGCCCATTGTGTAGGCCCAAAAACATGTGAGCACATTGCTTCCTTCCAAACTGGTGTTTCCCTCCACCTCCAGCCGAATTCTCGTG